TCACAGGTTGTCCTTAGACTATAAGTTCCAAGAGGATGGGGACTCTTTCAGCCTCACTAAGATCTGAATTGGCAGTACTTAAAACCATACCTGCGAAATAGTAGATGCATGATAAATATTTGGTGAATGAACAATATGTTTTTCTATTATTCAGATGTTTTGTGGAGCAGACTGGATTTTCTCTCCCCAATTTTCATCTCTCAGTTTCTTGAATTAGGACAAATAAGGGAAGAAACTGGTATTTTGTTGAGTACCTAGCATATGTTGGACACTCTGAGGAAGAGATTCATATAGATGTATATGTAGATATAGTTATTGTTATAGAAATAGATATAAACACATAATTATAGAGATAGGGATAGGTATATATATAGAGAGAGAGACAGAGAGGTATATACACACATAGGTATATAGACATACAGAGATACAGATATATAGACATACACGTATACAGATACATAGACATACAGACATATAGATAGAGAGATAGCTGTCTTTTAGTCCTTTCTGCACACTGGGAGATCGGGTTCTTCTATCTCAGTACAGAACCTAGAGCTGCTGTATCCACGTTCAAGAATTTATCCCCATTCCTTCTCTTTAGACTCAAACTCCAAAGATCTTTTTGTGAAGCCTAATTACTCAATGGGAGTCCAAGGGTGGTACAAACATGAAGTTCTTGACTAATAATCAAAAGGTTGCCAGTTGGACATTTAGCCCAATTGGCATAACGTAGTTTATAAGGAAAATATTCTATATCCTACTTTGTTGAGTAGCATCTGGGGTCTTTAAAGACTGTGAGCAGCCATCTAAGATACTCCACTGATCTCACCCCTTCAAGAGCAAGTGAAAATGAAGAAAACAAACACACAAGGGAAAGATTAGTCCAAAGGACTAATGGACCACAAATACCACGGCCTCCACCAGACTGAATCCAGTACAATTAGATGGTGCCCGGCTACCACTGCTGACTGCTCTGACAGGCATCACAACAGAGGGTCCCGGACAGAGCTGGAGAAAAATACAGAACAAAATTCTAACTCAAAAAAAAGACCAGATTTACTGGCCTGACGGGAGAAATCTTGAGAGTATGGCCCCTGGACACTCTTTTAGCTCAGTAATGAAGTCACTCCTGAGGTTCACATTTTAGCCAAAGATTAGCCAGGACAATAGGACAAAACAAGACTAAAGGGGCACTCCAGCCCAGGAGGGGACAGGAAAGCTGGTGATAAGGAACCCAAGTTCAAGAAGGGAGAGTATTGACGTGTCATGGGGTTGTTAACCAATGTCATAAAACAATATGTGTACTAACTGTTTAAAGAGAAGCTAGTTTGTTCTGCAAACCTTCATCTAAGGTACAATTTTAAAAAAAAAACAAAAGTTTGGCAGTTCGAACCTACCCAGAGGCACCTCAGAGGAAAGCCCTGGAACCTGCTTCCAAAAGGTCACAGCCTTGAACACCCTGTGGAGCAGTTCTGCTCTGCACACATGGGGTCACCATGAGTTGAATCAACTCGACAGCAATTTTTATTATTATTATTCAGTGAGAGTTTCCCTCTCACTGAATATTAACTGATAGAAGCTCATGTTTGTCAGTATTTCTTCCTATCTTATTTATCTGTGCTGAGTCTGTGCTAAACGCTTTACAAAGGTTGTCATTCATTCATGAGTAAAATTCTAGGAAGTAGGTGCTGCCAGTATTTCCATTTTTTACAGAAAAGTTAAGTAAATTGCCTGAAGTTCCACAGGTGCTGAGTGAAGGGACCGGAATTTAAACCTGTGTTGTCTGATGCCTAAGGTGAAGTTCTCAGCTAGTGGTCCTCCTCAGCTGGGCATTGTGCTTAATGGTCTCATGTGACATACACTAAGTTAGGATACCAAAGTAGAGATTAATGAATTTCCTTTTATTTCTCTCCCTTTTGGTTTGTTCTCTAGCCAGTTATTAAGGCATTGTTTGCACTGATCTTCGGAGAAATAGCAAATTGGTGTTTTAAGGAAGAACCTGAGGCCATTTGTATATCTGTGTACAAAAACAGCATCTGAGTCTGGTGTTTTTGCCCAGAATTTTGGTGTTATGCCCATGAATGCCGATGTGAGTGAAAATAATAGCAGAGAAGGCTGGTTTCTGGCAACAGTTCTGTTGTTACACTTGTCCTGCCCTGCCCCTCCTAGGATGTTGACCAAGGTCAGGAATTTTAAGCTCTAATGTCCACAGTATCTGGGCAGGTGTAGTAAGTGGAGAAACAGGCAGGTATGACAAAATAGGAACCCTGTCAAACTGGAGAACATTCCATGTTAATAAAGCAGCATTTCTCTGTTGCAGCCAGGTAATACCAGGTTGAACTCAAGGCCCAGTGTTGCCAGATCTTCCAAATTTTCCAGAGAAACCTTTAATTCATATTTTTTAATGACAGCTCCCAAATTTTAAATGTTGTCAATTCAAATTTTTCCTCCAAAAACTGAGAGCCAAACGGAGCGTGTCTGAGGGCCAGGTCTGGACCATTTGATATCTTAGGGTCTCTCCAGCCCAAAAGTGCTCTGATCAAACAAAAGATGGCACCACTGATTGACAGATACTAACAACGAAGGGGACATACTTTAGTTCATCTGGCCCAAGGCTTGGTGCTGACAAGCCATCTCTAAGAGATGAGCGTTTCCTATGTCCCTCCTTTCCGCAGAGAGTAACCTATGGTGTATTTAGCAGTGACTCACCTATCAGGAATACAAAGCAGGGTCATGGGAGTAATATCCAAAATTTAATTAAGGTTAGGTTTTGGCACAAGCAGTTTGCAATCGCCTACTAACCTAAACGTTGGCAGTTTGAACCCACCCCGTGGTGTTGCACAAGAAAGACCTGGCAATCTGCTTCCATAAAGATTACAGTCACGAAAACCCCAGTGAGCAGCTCTAGTCTGTAACACATTGGGTCGCCATGAGTCAGAATCGACTCGAGGGCAACAGATTTATTTGTTTGGTTGGTTGGTTGGTTAGGGTTTTCAAGGTGTAAACCAGGGCTTCAAGCCAGTTCATTCTGGTTCAAGCCCCCGCTAAGAATTTGCATGTCTAACAAGTTCCCAGGCGATGCTAACGCTGCTGGTTAAGAACCAGTTCTGAGAACCATTAGTAGAGCAGTGGTTTTCAAAATTTATTATACATAAGAATCACCCAGGGATCTTGTTAAATTGTGGATTCTGATTCAGTATATCTGGGGTGGAAATGCAAATTCTCAACAGGGGTTTCTAACTGGAAGCCCTACTGTAAACTTCTTCAGCGTAAATTGAGTCAAGTGTTATTGGTTCATTCTGTGGGTCTTTTTGTCAAACAGTATCATCTTGTTTTTGAAAGTGACAGGAACTTATCTGTGGTGACAAAGTGCTTCCATCACCAAGCTGTGTGCAAAGTAGTTTATTTCAGTCAGCATTTTCATGGACTAAAACAGATAGTTCTAACTTCAGTCAATTTCCACAATCGAACTTCAAGAAAGTCTCTAGTAAATGAGGGTCCTGTCTCATCTTGGGTGCATTTACCAGTATCTGGGATGGCAAAAAGGTTCCATTTCATGTGTCAACTCCAATGGATTGGTAATGGTTGCCTGGGACACTATCCTGGGAAAGACCCCAAAGCCATATCCTAGTCCCAAAGGGAAGGTGCTGTGATACTAGCAGTGTCTGCCCTGAGTATCAGAAAAAAAAAGTTGTTTGCCATTGAGTTGATTCCAACACGTAGTGACCCTACAGGATAGAGTAGAACTGCCCCATAGGGTTTCCAGGGCTGTAATCTTTACGGAAGCAGACTGCCACATCTTTGTCCCACGGAACAACGGGTGGGTTTGAACTGCCAACCTTTTGTTAACAGCTAAGCACTTTAACCGTTTATTAGTGTCTTTATAGTCTCAAGTGACAGAACCCAATCTCAGGTGAAGGAGAACATGTACGATCACAGAATACAAAGAAAGACATTGCTCAGAGTGGGGCAGGGATGCAGCTGGGCTTCAGGAACAATATGAACCAGGGGCTTGAATGCCTGCGGGATTCTCCCTGCCCCTCATCTCTATTTCTCTCTGCACATCAGCTTCATTCTCTCATGCACAGAGGCTTTGTCCATATGAGAGTTCCCAAAATCTGCATTTTATGGCTTCCACCAGAAAGAGACTGCCTTATTCACTCTTTGGTACCCAACACAAAAATTCTAGAGAAGGACTATGACTGGCCCATCTTGGGTTCAAAAACCCTGGGGAATGACTATTTGGTCCAGCCTGATGCTCAACCCTGGACCAATCAACTTTGGCCACGGGGTGGGATCATCTAAAAATATGGCAGCTTCCATGAGAACCACATGACAGGACATAGGGGAAGAGAAGTCTCCAGAGTAAGCGGAATACAGGTAAGGACATTCAAAATGGTGAGTTTCTACTATAAGGGGGGTGGCCACCTGCCTGTCTTCCGGAACTTAAATCCTAGGTGGTGCGGGAAAGGAGAAGACCCCCCCAGGAAATTCTACCAACTTCACGTGGTAGCTGCAGCCCCTCCCCAGCATTTCTGCTGGTTCCTCATCTGGGGAGATAAAACTGAGGTTCACTTCAGTGAGGATGCTCTGGGGTACACCACCACTGCCACCACCAGTAGCCACTGAGCCGATTTGGACTCATGATGACCCCATGTGTGTTAGAATATAATTGTGCTCTATAAGGTTTTCAATGGTTCAGTTTTTGGAAGTAAATTGCCAGGCCTTTCTTCTGAGCTGCCTCTAGGTGGGCTCGAACCTCCAATCTTTTGATTAGCAGCCGAGCACATTAACCATTTGCACCACCATTCCCACCTAAATCAATAGGTTGTGTCTTCCAAACTCTGGTGCTGAAGCAAACATAACTCTGGCAATTAACCAGGAGCATGCACTCATTTTGTGGAGCTAATTCCTGCTGCATGACCAACCTTTAGCCATCTCTTCCCAAGGCAGGTGGTGACCTGAGAATTCTGTTCCTGCTTCCTGAGGACTGCCCCACAATGCAGTGGCTGATGAGGTTTCGGGTTGTCTGGGCCATCCACAAATCCTGCCACAGTTTCCAGCGTGCCCCTTGGCACCTGCGTTGCCGGTCTTTATCAGGACCTGGAGCCCCAAAATGGGATGATCACGATACTCCTGAGGAATTTAACTTTGCAAACGATGTGCTGGACTACTGGACTCAAATGGAGAAGGTGAGGGGCCATCCTTTGTGGGGTAAGGAACACCAGTGGTCTCACTGGTCTTATCTTCTTCCTACTAGGCAGAGGAGAACTAATCCAAGAACAGCTTCTGCCTCAGTTTACCAGTGTCATGGAAGAAGCTTATGCTTTGGGATTCAATTCCCAGCCTGGTCACTTGTTCAACTCTCTGAGCCTCAGTGCCTTCATCTGTGAAACAGGATGATATAGAGTTCTTATGTAGTCTCATATAATGAACAAGATATAGGTGAAAGTATCTGGTACACAGAGGATGCTCCAAAACTGTTAGCAAGTACAAAGTTCTAATTCATGTTAGTACCATTAGTCTCACTTTCAACTAATGGTACTTTGAGTCTAACAGGAACTTGGGCTTGGTGTCAGGACATACCCAGAAGGAGAAGGTGAATGTGTACATCAGCATTTGACATGTTTGCCTAAGTCATGTCATCCATTTTTCTGTGAGGGTGGTAGGTCTGACTGGAGTCCTCCCTATCTATTACCTACTTGAGTGTGGCTTTAGGGTATATCCCGAGAAACTGGTTCTTGTGGCCTCCAGAGGTTTCCGTGTCTCTGCAGAAAAGTTCAAGTGATTAGTTTATATTTTCCCAAGAGGCAGACCAAGAGAGAAGCAGTGGTGACACTAGGACTGGGGTAGATATTGGGTGGTGTTTCCAGCTACTAAACCCCAGTTGCTAACGTCCACAGCGTGAAAACTGGCCCAACACTATGCTTGTACAGAGGAGATAATTCACCTGAGACGGAGTCAGAGAACCCCCCCAAAACCAAACCTACTGCCATCAAGTCGATTCTGACTCATAGTGACCCTATAAGACAGAGCGGAACTGCCCCATCGGGTTTCCAAGGCTATGAATCTTTACGGAAGCAGACTGCCACATATTTCTTCCACAGAGTGGCTGGTGGGTTTCAACAGCTGAACTTTCCGTTAGCAGCCAAGCACTGAACAACTGCACCACCTGGGCTCCTATCACGTAGTGAATAGTAAACTTGAGATCTGAAGCCAGGCTGTCTGCCTCCAGAGCATATACTCATTTTGTGGTAATAATCATCGTTGTTGTTGTTTATCTGCCATCAAGTAAATTCCAACTCATGGTGACCCCGTGTGTGTCAGAGTAGAACTATGCTCCATAGGTTATCAATGACCGATTTTTTGAAAGTAGATCATCAGGCCTTTCTTCTGAGGAGCCTCTGGGTGGGCTCAAACCTTTAACCTTTTGGTTAGCAGCTGAGTGCATTAACCATTTGCACCACCCCACATATACAAACACGCACGTGTATATATATATATATATATATATATATATATATATATATATCTTAAATAAGATACACTATTTTGTTCCTACCATCTAAGGCAAACGTGGTAGGATCATGATTGTACATACTTGGAAAAAATTTTTCTTGATGAATACACACCAAAAAATTGTCAGTGTTAACCTTTGGAGACCGAAAACGCAACGAGGAATGTGAACTATATTTCTCTGCTTACTTCACAAGCTTCTTCATTGCCTGAAATTTTAGTCTGAACATACTTTGCTTTGGGAAGTTTTTTTAAAAAAAAGTGCTTTAAAGAAAACATGCTCATTTTAGAAAACTTTGGGAAAACGAGAAAACTGATTTAAACAAGAAAATGAAAATTGATCGTAATTTTTTAGAACACTATTGTTGTTGTTGTTAGGGGCTATTGAGTCGGTTCCGACTCATAGTGACCCTATGTACAACAGAACGAAACACTGCCCAGTCCTGCGCCATCCTCACATTTTCTTCTGCTTGAGCCCATTGGTGTAGCCACTGTGTCAATCCATCTCACTGAGAGTCTTCCTCTTTTTTACTGATCTACTTTACCAAGCATGATGTCCTTCTCCAGGCACTGATCTCTCCTGATAACATGTCCAACGTATGTGAGACGTAGTCTTGCCATCCCTGCTTCTAAGGAACATTCTCACTGTATTTCTTCCAAGACAGATTTGCTCCTTCTTTTGGCAGTCCATGGTATATTCAATATTCTTTGCCAACACCATAATTCGAAGGCATCAATTATTCTTCGGGCTTCCTTATTCATTGTCCAGATTTCACATGCACAGGAGGTGATTGAAAACACCATGGCTTGGGTCAGGCGCACCTTAGTCTTCAAGGTGACAGCTTTGCTTTTTAACACTTTAAAGAGGTCTTTTGCAGCAGATTTGCCCAAATGCAATGCATCTTTTGATTTCTTGACTGCTGCTTCCATGAGTATTGATTGTGGATACAAGTAAAATGAAATCCTTGACAACTTCAATCTTTTCTCCATTGAATCATGATGTTGCTTATTGGTCCTGGTGTGAGGATTTTTGTTTTCTTCATGTTGAGATGTAATCCATACTGAAGGCTGTGGTCTTTGATCTTCATCAGTGAGTACTTCAAGTCCTCTTCACTTTCAGCAAGCAAGGTTGTGTCATCTGCATATCGCAGGTTGTTAATAAGACTTCCTCCAATCCTGACGCCACGGTTTTCTTCATATAGTCCAGCTTCTCAGATTATTTGCTTAGCATACAGACTGAATAGGTATGGTGGAAGGATACAACCCTGACACACACCTTTTCTGACTTTAAACCACGCAGTATCCCCTTGTTCTGTTCGAACAACTGCCTCTTGATCTATGTACAGGTTCCCCATGACCACAATTAAGTGTTCTGGAATTTCCTCATTCGGTGGGATCACCTTTCTTTGGAATAGGCATAAATATGGATCTCTTCCAGTCAATTGGCCAGGTAGCTGTCTTCCAGTTTTCTTGGCATAGATGAGTGAGTGCCTTCATCGCTGCATTCATTTGTTGAAACATCTCAATTGATATTCAGTCAATTCCTGAAGCCTTGTTTTTCACCAATGCCTTCAGTGTAGCTTAAACCTCTTCCTTCAGTACCACTGGCTCCTGATCATATGCTGCCTCCTGAAATGGCTGAATGTCAACCGATTCTTTTTGATACAGTGACTCTGTGTATTCCTTCCGTCTTCTTTTGATACTTCCTGCGTCTTCAATATTTTCCCTGTAGAATCCTTCAATATTGCAACTCGAGGCTTGAATTTCTTCTTCACTTCTTTCAGCTTGAGAAATGCCGAGCATGTTCTTCCCTTTTGGTTTTCTAACTCCAGGCTTTTGCATATATCATTATAATACTTTGCTCTGTCTTCTCGAGCCACCCTTTGAAATCTTCTGTTCAGCTCTTTTACTTCATCATTTCTTCCATTTGCTTGAGCTACTCGAAGTTCAAGAGCAAGTTTCAGAGTCTCTTCTGACATCCATTTTGGTCTTTTCTTTCTTTCCTGTCTTTTTAATGACCTCTTGCTTTCTTCATGTATGATGTCCTTAATGTCATTCCACAAACCGTCTGGTCTTCCGTCATTAGTGTTCAACGCGTCAAATCTATTCTTGAGATAGTCTCTAAATTCAGGTGGGATATACTCAAGGTCATACTTTGGTATGTGTATATATGTCTGTCTTGTTTACTAATGTGTTCTTGTGGCCTAAGAACAGTGCCTAATGCATAATGAGACCTTAGTAAATATCTATTGAACAAATAATATTACTATATAAATTTAGGTTATTGTATAAATACGATTATTCTTTTTTAACCTAATTTATGTTGTGAACATTTCTTATTGCAAAAAAAATTGTGAAAATTTTTATTGGTTTTATCATATTTTATCATATAGAAGTATCTTAATTTTTAAAAATGATTCCCTATAGTTGAGAAATTAAGTTATTCTCTTTTTATTTTATTGCAATAATAATAATAATATTTCCTCAGGACCTACTATATGCCAGGCAGTGTTATAAGCACTTTACTCATTTAATTAACTCATTTAAACTTTACTGTCCTATGGGTAGTGTTACTGTCCCCATTTCATACATGAGAAAACTGAGTCACAGAGAGGTTCCTACTATCCATATGGGACTACAACAGACACTTTGGAGAATGGAGTTGCAAATCTTCAATAGGTGATATGAAGGTTACTAATGGTCTTATGGAGCTGGAGGCGGGGCAGCTACAGTAGGCCAGGCATTGACTGAATCCCATCCCACCCTCAACTTTTCTTGGCTCTGTAAGTAGCCCTTAAGCTACACCCACACTGGAATGTGACTATAGTAGGAGACTGGCAAAATAAGTGCCCTTTTCCCTAGAAGGAGGAAGTAACACACTGTGTATGATCTTCACCAGGAGGGCAAGAGAGGTCCGAACCCAGCCCTGTGGTGGGTGAATGGCAAAGGGGATGAAGTGAAGTGGAGCTTCACAGAGATGACAGACCTGACCCGCCAGGTAGCCAACGTCTTCTTGCAGACCTGTGGGCTGCAGCAGGGAGACCGTGTGGCCTTGATTCTGCCTCGAGTGCCTGAGTGGTGGCTGGTGACTGTAGGCTGCATCCGAACAGGTAAGTGCCTCAAGAGGACCCCAGTGGACCTCAGACCTGGCCTAGAGTTCTCACCCTGGCTCCTCATTCTGGGACTACAGAACAAGCCTCCCTGCCTCTGGGAATTAACAGTGCAATTGGGGAGAAAACACTTTCTCTTACCTACCTCTTTCTTCATCGCCAACAGAAAACTTCAAAGCCTTTTGCTGTCAAGTCGATTCCAACTCATAGCAACCTTATAGGACAGAGTAGAACTTCCCCATAGGGTTTCCAAGGAGCGGCTGGTGGATTCAAACTGCTGAACTTTTGGTTAGCAGCCAAGCTCTTAACCACTGCACCACTAGGGCTCCTTCTTTACCACAGTCTTTCTCTTTTTCATATGGCCTCACAAATTCTCTTACTCTTTCTCACTCACTCTCTTCCTCACACTCACACACTCTCAAACACAACCTCATACATTCACTCTCTCGCTCTTACATCCTTCTTGTGCACACTCTCAGACATTTTTACTTTCTTTTTTAATATTCATCAATTTTTAACATTTTGCCACAATCTTTCCCTCTCTCTCTCCCTGTTTATCTCTCCCCCCTCTCTCTGCCCCCTCCTCGCTCACTCTCTCCCTCTCCCTCTCTCCTTCTCCCTCTCTCCCTCCCTCTCGATCTCTCCCCCCTCTCCCCCCTCCTTGCTCTTTCTCTACCTCCCTCCTTCTCCCTCTCTCTCTTCCCCTCTATCTTCCTCTCTCTCTCTCACTCTCTCCCTCTCCCTCTCTCGTTTTCTGTCTCGCCCTCTCTCATTTTCTCTCGGTCCCTCTCCATCTCTCCCCATCTCCCTCTCTCTCCCGCTCCCTCTCTGCCCTCCCCCCCTTTCTCTCTGAGTCTTTTGAGAATCAGATTATAGACATTGTGACAGCTCACCCATAAACACTGGAGCATGCATCTACTAAGCAAAGATATTCCCTTCACATAACCACAATGAAGTCATCACACAAAAAGTCTAGCACTGATACAGTACAGATATATGATATATGTCCATAGCCACAATTCCTCAATTACCCCAATAATGCCCTTTATAGCTATTTTTTTGTCTTTAAACCCAAAATCCAATCTGGGATCATGCATGGCATTTGGTTGACAAGTCTCCTTAGTCTCCCCAGCTTTTTCTGCATAACAATGACATTGTCTAAGAGTAATAAACGCTTACTCTGCTAAAGTAAAGCAAGGAGATATACTGTAAGTTTGTTAACAGTTTGGACTGGGGAAAACATCTAATTTTACAGAGAGAACAAACGCTTCCAAAATAGAGAAGCTGCGGAGACCTCTTAAAAGGGTGATAACAAAGGACTTCAGCTGTACTATTTTGATTGCACATTACAAACTTAGATTAATGCAAGGCAGGTTACTGGAAGTGGGATTGGTGGGGAGAGGTTACAGGATATTTCTCTCTTAGAAACAGCTTGCTCAAGTGAAATTTTCTTGTCAGCAGTTGCCTAAGAGACCTAGATGAGAGTCAGCATCAAGGTCTTCTTCCTGAGACATTGTTTCAGGAAGGGTCTTGATAGTTCCTGTGAAACAATTTTATAAAGAAAGGCAAGATGGAGTAGGGCCCCACCACCACTGACTGCTCTGACAGGGATCACAATAGAGGGTCCAGGGCAGAGCTGGAGATAAATGTAGAACAAAATTCTAACTTACAAAAAAAGACCAGACTTACTGGTCTGACAGAGACTGGAGAAACCCTGAGAGTATGGCCCCTGGACACCCATTGAACTCAGTATTGAAGTCACCCCTGAGGTTCACCCTTCAGTCAAAGATTAGACAAGCCCATAAAACAAAATGAGACTAAAGGGGCACACCAGACCAGGGGCAAAGATGAGAAGGCCGGAGGGGACAGGAAAGCTGGTAATGGGGAACCCAAGTTCAAGAAGGGGAGACTGTTGACATGTCATGGGGTTGGTAATCAATGTCACAAAACAATATGTGTATTAATTCTTTAGTGAGAAACTAATTTGCTCTGTAAGCCTTCATCTAAAGTACAATTATATATATAATCATATTTTATATATATATATATTTGAAAAAAGATGGACTAGGGCCCCAAACTCTGAAGAAGCCATTTTACTTTAGTCAAGTGCCTCAGGTTACCTGCTCTTACTCAACAGTTTTGAAGAGTACTAATTGTTTTGCAGAATGTCCCTCAAAATTTGTATTTCTGCCTCTTTTCTCATGATTATATTCAGGTTTTTGAAATGTTTTGAGTATGAACATTTTTGGCAGGAGTACTACAAGGAAGGTGTTGTGTCTTTCTTACCGCATCACATCAGAGAGTATATAAAGTCAGTTTGTCCCATCATCAGTGACATTGTTTGATCACCTGAGCAAGCTGGTGTCCACCAGATTTCTCCTTTGTAAAGGCACCTTTTCCCCCTTTGTAATTAATAAGTAATCTGTGGTGTAATTCTTATGAGAATGTGTAAATATCCTGTTTACCAACAGTCTTTCATCCAATGGTTTAGCCATTGATGATTCTTGACTGAACTGAATATTACTACGGTGGTTTTAAATGGTGATTTTCTATTTTGATCATTCCCTCTATACTTACTAGTTAGCATTCTTTTGTAAAGAAAAGTTTTCCCTCTCCGTTTAAATTACCTGGAGTCCCTGGGAAGTATAAATGGTTAATGAGTTCAACTGTTAATAGAAAGGTTGGAGGTTCGAGTTCACCCAGAGGCTCCCGAGAAGAAAGGCCTGATGATCCACTTCCAAAAAAACAGCCATTAAAAACCCTATGAAGCAGTTCCAGCAAAATGGCGCTCTAGGCAGAAGCATCATGCCGTCCCTCCACAGCAAAGATCCGAAAAACTAAGCCAAACAGAGAATACAACAATCCTGAAACCCTAAATCATCAAATGAAGAGATAAAGAACTCAGCCAAGCACCAAATGGAGTGAGAAAACTGACAGAGAACGGAGAGAGAGGAGAGATCCATGCAGAGGTTCCCTATCAGCTAATGCAGCGTGGCTCCGCCATCTTGGACTTGTATCTGGGACCAGCAAACAGGGGGTACAAGAAAGCAGCCACATGGAGCATCCAGCAGGAGACAAAACAACCAGTAATTTGCAATATATGCTTTCCCACCCCCCAACCTTCTTCACCCCAACTCGGCCTCCTCTGCTTCCCGCAGCCACAATCTCTTGACTGGGAATCACCAGCTGCTTCGATTCCACACACACCTGAACGGGCCAGCTCTTTGAGTGCCATTTGTTGGCTGCTGGTGTTGCTTTTTTCTGCTTCTTTTGATTTCTTCCTTACCTCTCACCACCTCCCCCTCCTTTCGCTTATATACCTTGCTCCGTGCGCCATCTTTGCTTCTTCCTGAGGGGCTGCAGAGCTCCGGTAATTTGTGATATACGCTTTCCCACTCCCTACCCTTCTTCACCCACACT